GACTCGTTTATCTTCTGATAATCATTTTCCTTTGCCTTTAGCCATTAGAAGTAAGGATAAAAAAAAAAGGAATAATAGAACTGTGAATATACAGCTAAATTTAAAATGAAGTTTTTTTATTATAGTCTTTTTAATGAGACTTAGTGGCGGATTAAGACTTGTTGGGGCCCGGAGCTATTTTTGTTTTTGGAGGTCTTTTTATGAGCCTAAAAATCACTAAAAAAAAAAAAAAAAAAAAATTCCACTGATCCGGTACTGGTGAGACTTGACTGATAAATCGTTAAAACTGTTTAAAACAAGATTTATCATTTACTTCGATTCGAATTCAAATTAGAATTATTTATATACTTACATTCTAATAAAATCATTATCTCAAAATATTTATGATAAAAACTAGTTTTTAACTAAAGTTAACTAGTTTTTAACTAAAGTTTTAAAAAAACTTAACACAGGAAAATAATAGTTACGTTTTCTGATCTAATTACACTTTCAACAAAAAACTTAGTAAAAAATTGAGACACAAATATTTTGGGCCTAAACGCCTAACTAACTGGGATGCGCAAACAACTGAGTGCGCAATTAGGCGAGAGACTACTGTACTTGGTTGACTGGTTGTGCGAGGAACACAAATAAATTGTTCCGTGTGATCCAAGAAATAGTTGAGGTAACTTAAATATTTCTATTTTAATGAAAATTGCCGAGTAAAAGCACCTAATATCTCCTATTTCTATTTTTAAATATAATTTGCGTTGCCAAATTTATGGGTGATCCCTTATACGAGTAGGTAGAATTATGGAATAAACGAATAAGAGTTGAAAACATTTTAAACGCATAAAAATAAATCTAAATTACTCTACAATTTTAAAATCAATTAGTTTATAATTTTTTATTATCTAATACATATATAAAATTTTTTTTTTTTTAAAACATCTTCGCTTCCAACAAGGCTGCAAGCAACCACTAATTAGTGTTAGAAGTTACTGGAAGAGAAAAGATGAAGATTGTAGAGCAAGATAACGATTGACAAACGACTTAAAAGATTGAAAATTATATGAATCAGGAAAGCAAGATGAAGGAAGCGAATTCCAAAGAACTGATGTTCGAGGAAAAAAACTAGACGAGTAAGAGTTTTTGGAGCACTTAGAAACAGTAACAGAAAGAGGATAAGACTTAATTGAATGACGAGTAACACGAGAATGAATTTTAGTAGATGGCACAAAAGACGCTAGCTCTTTAGAGCAGTGCCCATTATAGTTTTTGTAGAAAAGAGAAAGAGAAGCAATATTACGACGATGTGACAGAGGTTGAAGGTTGGCTGGAAGAGCAGGTCCAACTATGTTTACAATGCGTTTTTGCACCTTATCTAAAAGAGAAAGGGCATCATTAGAAGATCCGCCCCAGATATGACAACAGTATTCCATACAAGGCCGGATTTGAGATTTATAGAGATAGAGAATAGAATCCAGAGTAAGAAAGTGACGAGCTTGATAAAAAGAAGCAACTTTAGCAGATGCTAATTTTGTAACGGATTTGATATAAGGTTTCCAAGAAAGATCAGAAGTAAGAGTTAATCCTAGAAGATGAAGGGTAGGAGACTCATCGAGTACATTACCGTTCATAAATATAGGAAGGTCTAAATTATTGCGATAACGATTGGCTAAAAAAAATTTAGTTTTATCTGAATTAAAGTTCACCAGCCACTGTGAGCCCCATGCTGTAGCAGAAGTGAGATTCTTTTCAAGCTCAGATTCCCCCTGCAAGCAATCAGAGGGAGTTGGCTTCTTATAGTGACAAGAATAAATGGTATCATCAGCGAACAATGCCACCTTAGATGTGAGAATATCTGGAAGATCGTTAATGTAAATTAAAAAGAGTATAGGGTCAAGGATTGAACCTTGGGGAACCCCTGAGGTTACAAATATATTAAATATTACAATTATATATTAAATATAATATGTATGGAGACAGGGCCGGCGCGAGTAGATGTCACGTGGGAAAAAAAAAAAAAAGGTCCTCGTTTTCCAAAATTTGCCGACTGTCATGACGACATTTGCCGACTGTCTAACCTATATCGAAAGGATGTCCACATTTGCCGACTAACTAGGTCCAATTTGCCGACTAAGGGTCCAATTTGCCGACTAAGGGTCCAGTTTGCCGACTAAAAATCATTGATGAGGGGGTGCACACACCCCCCCTCCCCTATCGCGCCGGCCTTGTATGTAGAGTTAAATATGTATAAATGTGTTGTAACATGCATAAAGACAAAATTTACGCCCGATGAGGGACTCGAACCCGCGACCCTCAGATTAAAAGTCTGATGCTCTACCGACTGAGCTAACCGGGCTGATAATTACTCAATTTATTAAAATAATTATAATAACTTAATTAAGATAGAGATGTTTATACACAAGACAAATAAAATAAAAAGCTTTCTTTATTAAATGCTATTGTTTGTGCTTTTATTTAAAAATGCCATTTTTATTTATTGTTATTTAAGTAAATGATTGGTTCAGGTCAAATAAACTTTCTCTAAACGTTGAAAAAACACAATATACCTTGTTTCATAAAAAAACACAAGAAGAAAACCTTCCTCTAAAACTGCCAAAACTTATTATAAATTATAAACAAATTAAAAAACAAGATACTATAAAGTTTTTAGGAGTTATTGTGGATGATCATTTATCATGGCTCCCACATATAAAATATAAGGGAAAGCGGGGCAACATAACGAATAGGGCAAGATGGGTTTTCATATAACAACTCAATAAAAAATCTTAAAAATGGGTGAAAATAAAACTGTATTTGCATTTTGTATTTAAAAATACTAATTGGTTTTTTGAAATATTATTAACGCAATTTTATACGCATAAGTTTACTTTTTGCGCCTAAAAAAAAGTTCCTCCTCATAACGGGTGGTGTCCTTCAAGTTTAACTTCTTTAGAAGTAGTTTTTGGTGATTTATGTTTATTTTTCGTTACTTTAGTTAGAGTTATTGGTAGTTTTTAAAATTTTATAAAATTGGAGGTAAAAATTGCATAAAAAGTCATCTTGCCCCGTTCACGTGACCAGATGACAAATTTATGAACTTTTTCCCCTATACAATCAAAAATTAGTAGAACCATTAGTATTATGTATCGAACTCGTCCATACTTAAATTCACATAGTCTAAAGCTAATATACTTCAGCTTAATTCATTGTTACATTACTTATGCATATATTACGTGGGCAAGTTGTCCACCAACAAAACTTAAAAAAATTCTTTCTTTACAAAAACATGCTTGTAGAATTATATACAAAAAAAGGGGGGACCACACTAAACCTTTAATGATGGATATGAAAATGATGAATATATATCAGATAAATATTTTCCAACACCTAAACTTTATGTATAAATATACCAATAATCTAACTCCTAAAATCTTTATAAGTAAATTTAATAAAAATTTAAATGAGAAGTATTTCTTAAGAATAAATCAAAGTAACACATATAAATTACCTAAAAAAGTAAACAAATACACAGAATATAGTAAAATTTATAGAGGTTCCAAGCTATGGAACTCTTTTCTGAAAGACAATTTAAATATGGCAAAATCTTTAAATTCATTTCAGTTTCAAACAAAAACTTACGTTCTAAATCTTACGGATTAATTTTTATATTTGTTTACAAAAAATTTTTTTTAGCATTATATTTGATTATTTAACAGTTTGTATTTTTAAATATTATATGTAATCTTTATATATTATATGTTGAATATAATATCATATAATTAATTGGAAATTTGTATTTAATATATTCTTTTATAACTTTTTGTGACTTTTAGTATTTATTAATATTATATCTTTTTAACTATATATATATATATATATATATATATATATATATATATATATATATATATATATATATATATATATATATATATATATATATATATATATATATATATATATATATATATATATATTTTACTATATGTTATTTGTTCACTATATGTATTTTTAAATATTAAATCTTCTTTTTAGACTAATTGAGGGTGTTTTTACTTTTAATTGATGCATCTTCTTTTTTCTCTATTTTTATTCTTAAATATTATATCTTCTTTTTTACTATTTCTTTTTTTTTTCCCTAAATTTTCTACTTGATTTATTAACCATATATTACTATATATTATTGTTATGATCTGTAGGGGCTCTATGAAAAGACTAGGTTGGTATTTTGCCATCCATATCTTCTTTGAGCCCCTGACTGTTTATTACTTGTACATTTGTAATTATATTTTATTTTTGGTGAAAGGAAATTGATATAAACAGCAAATAAAAATAAAATTAAAAAAAAAAATCTACTATTTGCTACTGGTCTTATTTTGTACTAAAGTACGAAATAAGAACTGTACGTTAAGAAGTAATATATTACTTAACCTTTTTACTTCTTAACGTAATAGTCTTATTTCGCACTAAAGTACGAAATAAGGCCAGTAGCAAATTTTATAATAAAACTTTTTATAATAAAACTATGTTTTTTTTAAATTATTAATTTTAATTTAATAGTTAATTTTTCAGTATAGTTCAATTTTGTAATAAAGCTGAAGTTAACATTAATTTTTTTGAAATATTTACAAAGATAAAAAGAACCAATAAGTGCTTATAATTAAGGTGCTTATAAATGCCTTATAGAAAAATACAGAGGCATCCCAAGGAGGGGGGGGTGTTGGGTCTTGCCCCACTAGGAAATTTATTAGTCTGCAAATTGGATGCTGAAGCTGTCAAAATTGGATGTATAGTAGGTAGTCGGCAATTATTGGCCAACGATAATCTTTTTTTTTTAGATCTCAATGAAGTAAAGAATAGTTATCTTTTTCTATAGACAAAAATCATGCGCAAATAAAGATTTTCTAGGTTATTGTGAGCTTCCAAACATTAAAAGCGATACGATTGTCTTAGTAATTAAGGATTTATTGGTCTTAGGTTTCTGATTCAAAGCCTTTGATGACAAACGTATAATGGAGAAAGTATTACAATGGGGGAGTTAAATGAAGTAGCACAACAGATTTTAAAAGAGCAACAAAAAGCCCTTTTAACTAAACACTGCCATGGTCATTAAGTTTATCATTAAAATATGAAAATAAAATGTTCAGAACTCTCAATGAAGTCATGGAAACCGTATTGGAGGTTGTAGTTCTCATTATATTTTCCCTTAAACGAGAAAGAATGCTTGGAGAAATTAATTTAAATATCAAAGCATTTAATGATAATAATAACGATGCTTAAGATAGACCAATTTTTTTTTATCAAAACAAGTTACTTATTGGAGAATTTGTCTAACTATTAACAACAAGGTGCGTCTTTTTACTAATCTAAATAACAAAGAAAATTTAATATTTATTTAAATCATATTATAATTTCTTAAATTAGGTATGTTTAATTTTAAATAAATTCTTGTACAGTTTTTACAGAAATGCATTCAACTAAAGGAAAGTAGGGAAAACTGATTTTACAAAAACATCAAAGTTGATCAAATAGATTTCTTTAAGATTCTTTTATGCTATCAATCTAGGATTCACAATTTATTCAATTACATATAACCTATCAAAAACAATCCAAGTAGAAAATATTTCAGCAATTCAAAGCAAGTAGTAGCTCAACTGACCATCGATACGTTTGAAGGAATGAGGTCAGAAAGTCAACAATGCTTTTCGTGAAACAATGAAATTTAAAGCTGAAAATACCACACATAAACATTTAAAGATTTTAAATATTTTTTACGTTAAAATAAAACAAAAGTACGTACCTGTATGGCCTTGAATGTTAACAGTTGTATACTATAGCATCTATAGGGCTAAAATTTTAAACATTTTAATATATATATATATATACATATATATATATATATATATATATATATATATATATATATATATATATATATATATATATATATATATATATATATACATATATATATATATATATATATATATATATATATATATATATATATATATATATATATATATATATATATATATATATATAACAAACATTATCATTTTATATATATCAAAAAATTTTAAATCAGTAAAACCCTAAAAAGATATTTAAATTTTTGCTAAAAACTAAAGAAATATATTGAAAAATAAGAATATTTTTGTTTTCTAGATAATAAATTACACAATTAATTTATAAATTGATGACAAATTATTTATATCGGAGTATTAAAAGTATGAATACATATTTTTTTACAATTAAAAATAACTAAACTGTTTAATATGAATAATTAATATTGCAATAAAAACAAATATTATGGTAACTAGAAACAATTAATATCCGCATGATTTATTTTGCATTTATATTTTGCGTAAAAAACCTATTTTTATCTATATCCATAAAGTTATTTTTGAAACATTCATGATTTCAGTATTTACTTTGATTATTTTAGAATTAAAAAATTACCACAAATTATTTATTAGCCAATAATTTTCAAAATGAGGTAAGAAACCCTGTATGATACTGATATCATTAAAAGGCTTAATAAAACTTTGAAAAGTATTTTAAATAGTAGGCTATTTCTTTTATTGGTAGTTATTGTTTTTATCATGTCAATTATACCTAATAACATCATTTACACTTAATCCTTTATTGTTGTAAAGAAAAACGAACAATAGTCTAATTTTCCAAACAAATAACAATTTTATTTTGTAGTTTATTATTCATTCATTATTATTATTGAAATTTACACAATTATTATTCATAATAAATAACTACGGGCAGATGCAGGCCTTTAGTCTAAAGAATCATTCAACGTCTCTATCTCAATAGCTGAAAACAATTCGTGCAGAGGCTCACTAATGTGTACGTTCATTAAAAAATAAAAGGTAACTAATTTAATATTAAGTTTAATTAATTAGTTTAATAAATCTGATAATAGTTATTGAGTTATAGGTATTCATATTTTTTTCGTAAATGAACAATTGATTGTTACCTATTGGATTGTATTTCTTTACAACAAAAAAAAATATGTTGTTAATTCGCTTACGACATAGTCTATAGAAATACAATCCTGGTCTGGCAATCTATTGTTCTAAGCTATTGTTAATTCTCGGAACTTAAAAAAATTAGTCACGTGATCAATGTAGATGCAAGAAACTTATTTAAATAGGCGCTTCAAAATAATCTGAATTTAGAAAACTTTGATACTTTAGACGAAGATCTCTTAGATGAAATATTTGCAGAGTATATCAATAAAGCATTTGAGAAGGTGTGCGATTTTGTTTTCTTATATAAGTTTAAAAAACAAGGTTTTTCAAACATCCAACATTATGTGTGTTTCATAAATACACAAAAATTGTTTCATAACATACACAAATTATATGTATAAATTAAATTTAATATAAACGTTATATTTAATTTCCAAACGAAAGGTAATTATACAATTACTTTTAATCCGTAGGTCGTTTCTTTGGATGAATACTCATGTATAACTTGTGGAAAAATTTGCAAGTCAAAAGGAGGTTTAAAAAGAAACGCAAACTCAGCACCTGCGTTAATCAGCAATGTATCAAAATTAGATTGTTTTACAGTTAACATATTTTCAAATATTGTAAAAGGAGTGCAAAATGTTTTATTCTGTGACAATTGTTATCCAGAAGAAACAAGGCAGACAATTAAAGAGTTTGAATACAATGATATCCTGTACAACGAAGTGAGCAAGTTATTAACTGAGTTCATATCATCAAGGAATGCTGACATATTTTTATCAAAGTTTTATTCAAGCATTGTTCTATACGCCTATTATTATATCTTTAATCTGGATAAGCGTTTATGTGCTTTATTAGCCCTCCATATTGGAAATCATATTTTAGGTTTTTATAAAAAACAACTAAACTCTCCTTATGAAGAAAGCAAACAAAAACCAATAAGTGCACAAAAGATAGATGGATTGCAGTATTTAGCTGGTTATGTTATACACAAATTTATAAAAAAAACAAGAAACAATAAAAATTTTAATTCAAAAATAAATTAGGACACAATGGCAATACTTAAAAAATTTACAACAGATATATTCGTTGATCAAAAATTTATTTGTTCTCAAAACAGAGGGGGCTGTGAAAAAGAGTGTCAATGTATTTTTATTGTAACTGAGAGTTTGTTTTGGAGAGAAACTAACAAAAGTAGCTAATAATATTTTAGAAAATATGCTTAAACTTCATTTTTGCGTACGCTCATTTTCATTAACTCAAAATATTGTTTAGTTGCACAAAGAAAAGAAAAAAGAAAAATCTTTACGCAAAACTATCAAAAAAGCATCTCAGAAACTTTGTATACAAGAATAAATATTATTTAATGCAAAGAAAAACAATTTTTATAACATTTAAAAAAGAAAAGTAAAATACATTTTTATTAATAAAAACACAACACTTTACTTAATTTGTTTTATAGGTGAATACATGAAGTTTGGGAAGACATAAACATTTTTGACACTGTTTCACTTAACACTTGGGCAGCCAATCGAACACTCATTACAGAATATGACATCAAGTTGAAATGTTCCGATGTAAGTTTAGGGATAAGTTTTAAACAACGCTCTAATTCGTCATTATATAGTGTTTTTATATGAGACCAAAAAATATCATTTTCATTCCACATATGACGTGTAACATTTCCACTTAAATCTACAAAGGAGAAAAATTTATTTGTTGTATAAATGATATCAATAAATCAGTATAAATATTTTTTATCAGGTTATAATTAATTCATGTATTCACCTATTAAAAAAATACCCAAAACATATATTATCAAAAAATTATATTTACACAAACACTAACAAAATAGGAAAATTTACCTAAATGATAAAGGCAATTTTCTCAAAGTTTTTATAGGGTGAGGAGCATCTGCAAAAACCAAATAAATCTATTATTTGCGAATAAATTTATTATACGGTATATTACTTCACTTTCCACCAACCCATCCATCATACTACGCAATCGATAAAATTTTCTGTTGTTAGATGCACCATCCAAAACTGATGCAATAACATAAAGATTACACGTTAATTCAAAAATTGAAAAAGCTTTCCAAAATATCATCATAAGCTGATTTGATGAAATACCTTTTGTAGCAAAATATGCACGACTAAACTTTAAATCAGATGCTTTGCCTCTAATGTAATAAATAAGAGCGTGAGTCGCAAGTACACTTAAGTATGAAAAAGTACACTTGAGTATGAAAAAGTACACTTGAGTATGAAAAAGTACACTTGAGTATGAAAAAGTACACTTGAGTATGAAAAAGTACACTTGAGTATGAAAAAGTACACTTGAGTATGAAAAAGTACACTTGAGTATGAAAAAGTACACTTGAGTATGAAAAAGTACTGTTGATACTTGGATCGCCAAGATCCACATACTCAATAAGTTCGTCTGTATATTTATCAAAAACTAAATCCTCTTGAATCTTGATTTCATCAAAAGAAAGACAAACAAATTTTTGGTAACCAATTAGATTTAAAGTTTCATTCCAAAGATCATCTATTATTGCAAGATTGAAACCTAAACAGGGTTTTATGGCATTTTTGTAATCTCTAAGTGTTCTAAGACTTGGAAATTTTAATATTTTGGCAGATCGTAATTCATCATAAGCAGATGCAGACTTCATTGCTAATGATAAACAAAATCTAATTATCATAGGATGATATCTCATATTTGAAGTTGGATTAAAAAAATGCTTTTTTGTTGTTCCCATAACATTTTCACAAATGGGGATATTTTATTGTAACACTTCATTGCTAATGCTAGATGATACAGCTACTGATTTTGATACAATATTATGTTTAATTTTTTCTATTGTTTCAGTCAATTTTCTGCATTTGAGTCTTTTCTCTCTCAAGGATAGCAAAATTTTGCTTGGATGTGTTTTTTTCAAAGGAGCATTTTTTTTTTGCTGGAACAACTACAGTTTTTTTTTTTTTTTTTTTTTTTTTGTGATAGTTGTTTGTAAAATCTTTTTTCAAAGTCGGAACAGTTTTTACACTGATTGTTTTCTGACGGCAAAGAAAAAATAATATCACAACTTTTTGGTCTTAGGTAATGCTTGTCAATTGATAGTCCTGGTTGAAAGGCAGTTGACTTAATTTCTGTTGGAACATAGTGACATACTAGTTCATTTGAAGTAATATTTGTTAATGCGAGGCATATTTTAAAATGCTCCATTTCAGTGATTAAATCTGAGACAAGGATATTATTCATACTTCCTGAATTTTTTTATATAAAAAGATGGTCTATAAAAAACACCCAACCAAGCACAATGCAACTATAGACCAAAGATTCATCAACAATAATTTAATAAGTTGGAACCATAGAAATTCTCTGAAATTTTTTTTAACAATGTTGATTTTTCATGATGAGTTATCATCTAATTATCAATAAATTTAAGTTTATCTGCTCTATAATTGAATTCAAAGAAACTTGTGTAGCATTTTGAGTTTAAATTTCTATCACTTACTCTATCTTATACAATATGTTGATGTTTATAAAAAACAAAATTTTAACTGTTTTTAGCTTAGCAATATATTTTTTTTTACTTCAGGTAATTATATAAATACTTAATTAACTTTTAATTTGTGAATAAATAATTTATTTGCAAGTTAAAAACTAATAATTACATTTTGTATACTAACTTCAATATCATCTGTAGCAAAATGTCCTTCACAAATGTAAATTTTTCCTGCAGCTACTCGATCTTTCAAATCTTTATCTGTAAGACGATATTTAAATAGAACATCAATTATGTTTTCCTCCAGTTTGAGTGAAATTCGTCAGCTCTCATCGGGATTTGAAATATACCGTAAACGGGGGTGAATATGAACAGCGGGGTGAAAATGAACACTAGTACTAACTTAACTTAATGGTGAAGCAGCACATAAAATATAGCTAAAAATTGAAATTTTTTTACTCACTTGCCTTAAATATAATGTGTGGAAGATAATTTTCGGCTGCCCTCAAAATTTTCTTTTCCTGCCTTTTCTCTATCGCATATAAACAGTACAAGCGACGTGGTTCGTGTTATTAACCCACCTATCAAGGAGTATCTTAAGAACCGCTCATCTAAACGTCATCAAAGTTACCTCAATTTAGGTTCAGGTAAATAATGTTCTAATAAAACAATAATTTAATGTATAACTTGTCTGTATCCGATTATAAGCTCATTTGAAAATGACATTTTTTTAACACGATTTTTTATTATATTTTGTTAATTTTTAGAACTATGCCTCGAAATTACAAGAGAAAGGAAAACAGTAGAGCTTATAAAACAAGTTATACAAAAAAAGACTTAACAATAGCTTTAATTAAAATCAAAAACTAAGGATTTAGCTTCAGGAAAGCTTCAAAAAAGTACAATATTCCATTAGAAACATTACACAAAAAAGTTAAGCTTGGGGATCAAGTTCCGAAAAAAAACGGCGGACAAACCAGACTTGATAGTATAACAAAAAATTTATTTGTCCAAACAATTGTACATATGACTGATTGAAGGGTACCATTTGATTCTTTGGATATAAGACTTTTAGTCAAATCATATTGTGATAAAAGGAGTATAACTGACGCTCGATTCAAAAACAATATGCCTGGGGTAGATTGGGTTCAGTCTTTCATGAAGAGACATAACTTAACAAACAGGGTTGCTGATAATGTTAAGCACAGTAGAGCCATGGTCAATGAAGATACCCTTAACAAATATTTTGATAATTTGTATAAAGAGTTGAAGGATATACCTCCAGAAAATATCTATAACTATGATGAGACCAATATAACAGACAATCCAGGGTCCAAATCCGTTATTGTTCGTCGTGGCCTAGGGCACCGTGTCGAAAAAAAACAAGAACATTCGAAGCAGTCGACCAGTTTAATGTTTTCTGGCAATGCTGTTGGAGAGTTTTTGCCGCCCATGGTAGTTTACAAAGCAAAGAACCTTTACCAGGGTTGGACTCAAGGTGGACCACCTGGAACTGTTTACGACATCACCCCTAACGGGTGGTTTGATGGTAGGACGTTTACCAGATGGTTTATGGAAATATATTTGCCTGTTGCTATTTCAAAAGCCGGAACAACACTATTGATTGGAGATAATCTTGGTTCACATTTTTCTCCTGAAGTTATTAAAGCCACGATTCAACATAACATCAAGTTTATAACAATGCCTCCAAATGCGACTCATCTCTGCCAACCATTAGATGTTGCTGTTTTTAGAAGATTAAAGCAGTCGTGGAGGAGTATTCTTTTGAAGTGGAGATCAGAAAGTCGTATCAAAGGAGCTATCCCAAAAGAACATTTACCTACGCTTTTAAATAAACTAAATAATACTTTGCGACCAGTAGCTTTGGTTAGCAGATTTAAAGCAACGGGAATCTACCCTATGGACAGAACAGAGTTTATAAAACGTCTTCCAGGAAAATATAAAGACCCTGGTGGTAATGACACCGTTATGGTTCTTAACGAATCTGTTTTAGATATTTTAAAAAACAATCTAGGGTTAGGCCCAAATCCAACTACAAAACGCAAACATTGTGGTCCAAAGGTGGTACCAGGTAAAAGAATTCATTCTTTAGTTGAGTCAATTCCATCAAGTTCAACAGAGCTAAAAAGTAACACAGATAATGATTGGTACTGTACTTTCTGTAACAAAAAATGGGTAGAGTTAAGCGACGACGTGTGGGTTCAATGCGACAAATGCAGAAAACCATATCACCTCCAGTGTTGTGGCCTCATTTATGATAAAGATGGTTATTATGAGCTCAATATTGAAAATATCTTATACTTTGTATGCAGCATGTGTGAGTCATTTGAAGAATTTGAGGATAGTGATATTTAATGTTCTGTTTTTATGTGGAACAGATTTGTAAATATTGTGATACATGTTAATATATTGAAAAAACTAGTTTTTAAACATAGTATGCTAATTTTTCACATGAACTTAGTTTAAATAAAAATATGTTCTATGTAAAATAAACTTCATGTTATCTGTTTTGATCTTTAACAGTTTTTTCCCCCATTGTAATAAGGTAATATAGCGATATACTAGAATATAGAAATAATATGTAGTGTTCAAAGTCACCCCAAATTGGCCGTTCATTTTCGCCCCGTTTCGGAAATACGTATATGCTCGTATAAAACCAGAAAACTAAGGTATTTACTGCATAGTGTTGATCAGGCTTACGACTAATACAGGAAGCTGAGTAGTATAATGTTCTGTTACAGAAAAAATGGTTGCGATTAGGCCAACAGTTTTCTTTCATGATGCAAAAATGTTCAAAAAGCGTTCATATTTACCCCCGTTTACGGTACCTACTCCTTTATACTTATAGGAACAAGAAACTTGGCATCCAAA